GAAGTGCGGCACCCAGAATTGCACACAGTACTCCAACTGCGGTTTGACCAGTGCCCGATAGAGGGGAAGTATCACCTCCTTGGACCTATTGGTCATGCATCTGCTGATGCGCGATAAAGTGCCATTGGCTTTTTTGATGGCTTCGTCACACTGCCGACTCATGTTCATCTTGGAGTCCACTAGGACTCCAAGATCCCTTTCCACTTCTGTGCCACCCAGCAGGTCATTCCCTAGGCTGTAGGTGTGCTGGACATTTTTCCTCCCTAGGTGCAGCACTTTGCATTTCTCCTTGTTGAACTGCATTCTGTTGTTTTCTGCCCACTTGTCCAACCTGTCCAGGTCTGCTTGCAGCTGTTCCCTGCCCTCCGGCGTGTCCACCTCTCCCCATAGCTTTGTGTCATCTGCAAACTTGGACAGAGTACATTTCTCTTGTGCGTAAGGAGTTTGGGGGGAGGCCTGAGCAGGGGAGGGCCTGGCCAGGAATGGGGTGGGTGGGTCAGCGACGGGGGTGCAACATGCAGGGGAATGCTTTCTGCCCGGGCCCCCCCGCCACGCTCCAGGGCGGCTTGGCTGTTCCCGTGGGAAGCTTCCTGCGAACACAGCTGCCTCGGGCTGCCGAGCCAGAATGGGCCGTGTCCGACTGCCGGGCGAGGAGCCAGGGGGATATGGGTGAGCATGTGGCACAGGGGAAGGGGGTCCCACACTGCCATCGGGCAGCACAGCCGGCTCCCCCCGCCCAGCGCAGGGAGCCTGAAGGGAAAGCAGCTCCCAGGGGTGCACAGAGCACCCGGGTGGAGACTCTCCCGGGACCCCCGCCCCTTGGCCCCTGGCACTCAGGGGAGCCCACAGCTGCAGCCCGTCCCTTCCCAAGGGCTGGGAACCAGCGACACGGCCCTGCCCCGGAGCCCCGCTCCCACCCCCTGGTCCCACACCAGGTGCCCAGGCCTTCAAGGTGGGGTCAAGAAGCAGCAGACAGACAGATCCCATCTGCCTTCAGTGCCCAGGCTTGCCCGCGGATCGGGGGGCGGTGAGTGTGCGTGTACAAACAGACGGACTCCCACGTGCACTTGTGTGCCTGCACACACGTGCACCCAGTACATGAAATGCACACGCATCCCTGTGCACACATGCGGGCCCCAGGCGGCTGTGGGTCCGGGCACAGGCTGCGAGAGAGCAGGTCTCCGGTCCCCCCTCTCCACGCCAGCTGCGGCCCTGGGACCGAGCAGTGCTGCCGGCCTTTCTCCACTGTGTGCAGCACCAGCCCTGCTCGGGCTCGAGAGAGGATGCGGTAAACGGCTGTTAAAGGCGCCAGGGCAGCTCCTTGGGCACCGGGATCTGGGCGTCCCTTGGGGCCAGGCCGAGAGGAGGCTCCTGAGGGGAGAACAGACAGCTGAGTCACTTGGGCACAGCGTGGCTTGTTGAGCTCCCCTGTCCCCGCCAGCCCCGGACCCCACCAGCGGTGCTCCAGCCACCGCCCCGCGCTGCACGTGCTCCAGCCTGGAGCGTTCCCCTCCATGGGGGACCCGGGAGCCTCTTGCCATGAAGCCGAATGCCGGCCGTTTGGGGGGATTTGTGCCCGAGACCCCCCGGCTGGGGGTGGTGCCCGGCTGCACTCTCAGCTACATGCTCACAGAGCAGAGGTTTCCTGCCAACACCCACGCAGCTCGGAGAGGAAACCTGCGGTGACGCAGATGCCTCAGAGCCCTTCATGCCCAGCTCCCCGGGTCTGCCGCTGGCAGATGAGACTGTGCAGAGCTCAGCTCACTGCAGGCCCAGCGGGGACGCCGCCCCTGGCTCACGGCACCTCCGTTTGGGGCGGCACGGCAGGGGAGATCTGAGCCAGCAAAGCGCGAGGGGCTTTGCTCTGCCCTCTGGCCAGGCTAAGGAGCTGCCTCCTCCTGCCTGGGCGCTTCGGGGAATATCTCCTGCAGACGCTGCCATAAAACCAGAGTGCTGAGCCACAGACCCCCGGAGCAGCTATGCCAGCGGCTGCGAGCAGATACAAGAGTGGGAAGGAGACAGTGGGAGACATCGCTGGGCGTGCACCCCGGGCAGGGGGGACTGCACGGAGCCCAAAGGCGGGTTTATACTGCTACCATCAGCCCCCGAGGGATGAGCTGCTCGCTGGGCCTGCCTGCATCCCGGGACAGCGGTGAAGCAGCAATGGGGCACTCCAAGGACGCTCCATTGCCTCCTGCAGGGTTTGGTGCTGCGGGCGTGGGAAGGAGCAGCCTCTCGGCCACCTCCCCGAGGAGCGCTCAAGCCCCCCTCTTCATGCACTGCCAGGCACCCTGCGGCCTCCATGCTGATTGGGGCCGAGGAGCACACCGAGCCGAGGGGCCAGCCGCTCTCAGCGCCGAGCCCAGGGCAAGTGGGCCCCCTGGCAGGCCTCATTTCAAGCCTGAAGAGCCTGGCTGATTGCATTTTTCCAGCCTGCTTGCTTTGCCAGCGCAGGGAGGCGGCAGGCAGCGCTGATGAAAGCCCTGCTCCCCGGCGCGGCAGCACATCGATCTGACCTTGGCCAAGGTTATCGGTGCCCACGGGGGAGCCGGGAGAACAGCGCTATCTTGCTCTCAGCAGGCAGGTGACTGCAATGGCCCCCCGGCACTGTTGATAGCGCGGGGGCCTGTTATCAGCAGCTGTGCAGGTGCAGCACGTGGAGGTGATGGTGACCTTGGCCGGCTCAGCACCTGGCCCACAGCTCAGCACCCATCCTGCTGCACCGGCAAAGAGTGGGGTGGGGACAGGCTGGAGGCCTGTAGGATCGTGCAGGGGGGAGAAAGGGCATAGGCAATGGATATTCCCGAAGAGCTAAGGGCGTCCGCTGGCCGGCTCCACCCCATCCATCGCGGGAAGCTGACAATGGTCCGGCTTGCATGGGCGCGCTTATCCCCTTGCAGCCACTTCTGGGGAGGAACGTGGCCGCTCGCAGCACCGCCGCCCAGCAGGATTCGCACAGGAAACGAGAAAGCCGAGTGAACGACACTCCCCATCCCAGCACAGTGCCTTTGATGGGGTTGCCGTGCAGGTGGGTTCATCACGGCACCCATGCAGATGCCCCAGGGCCAAGTGAGCCTTATCCCCACCCCGACGCTGCTTCCCAGGTACTCACCCTTCGGCTCCTGCCGGTGCCTCCGTGTTTCTCCCAGCGGAAAAATCTCACGTTGTCCTTTTCACCTTGCTGGACTTGGGAACTGGTGGCCGCAAGCAGGGAGCCCATTGCAGGGCCTACGGCAGGGGGGCAGTTGAGACTCAGGGAAAGGCTCCAGAGCTGGGAAGGGTTAAATCAGACAGAGAGAAAAACACATTTAAGGACAGGAGGTGTGGGGGGAGAGTCACGGATGCTCCTCCGTGCCCTGCTTCAGCCACAGCCCTGGGCCACACACTGTTCCCTGTGGACAGGCTCCCGAAGGGGCTGGTGGGGACTGCACCAGGCCTCTCTTGCTTGCTGATGGCTAATCCTCAGCTAGGTGATGCAAAGCAAAGTAAAAAGCAACCCCTCCCCACGTGGCGCTGCCACAGCATCGCCCCCAGCTCCACCGAACGTGACCACCAGAACAGGGCTGCTAGAGCGAAGCATGGACACTAGTGCTGGTGCACATGCATGTGCACGCATGTGCCCTTGCGTGTGCATGTAGGAGTGGGCCCACAGCTGCCCAGCTTCTCTGGCAGTTAGCAGTCCACGCTCCTCCGTTGCATCCTTCCTGGGGATGCTTTGGTGCTACGGCTTATATACCGGTGGATCCGTCTCTCCCCAGCGCTTGCCAGAAGCCCTCGGCCTCCCTGGAGCCCCCGGCTCCGAGCCCACAGGGTAGTTGTGAGCGGTGCCAAAGCCTCCCCGTGCCCAGCTCTGACGTTGCGCTAGGAGAGGGGTGCCAGTCCTTGCTGGCTACACCTCTATCCTCTCCCCATTGATCCCATTCCCTCTGGCCTAGCTGGACCCTGCCTTTTCCGGCTGCTCTCACAGAAAGCGCCCTCGGGACTGCCGGCACCCCTTTCTCTCTGCTTGCGGAGGGACTGGCCAGCACAGAGCCTGCTGCTCCAGCCTTTCCCACGGGCCCAGCCCACGCAGGCGAGGCAGCCTGGCAAAAGGACTCAGCTTCCACTTGGACACTTCAGTGAACAGCGAGATCGGCCAAACTGCCCAGTGCCCAGCTCCTCCGGAAGCCCGGCCTGGAGCCACGGGGTGCCGAGCTGCTTGGAAAACCTCCTTGCACTTGACAATTGCCTGCACGAGGCTTGGGCGCTGGCTCCGCCGGGATGAGCATTCAAGGGAGGGAACTGGGAACGGAGCAAAAAGAGACGATCGATTCTGCCACCTTCGTTTCCACGCTTGGCTGCATCCTGCCCCAGCCGGTCAGGGCTGTCTTGGCGCTAACAGCCCACCTGTGCCCCCGCGACCAGGGGAATCCAGCCTATTTGCCAGGGATTACAAGCAATCAAACCGCCTGGGAGTCCCGGTGACATGCCCCACAGGCCAGTCTTGGGCCCGAGCACCCAACACCGCTCCCAGCCTCCCTGTGGAAGTCAGTGCCAGGGATCTCGTTCAGACCGGCG